TAAATCATCTGGCTTGGACCTAATAACACTAAAAATTTTGGAAGAACTTCCAAAGAAAGGCGTAGTTAGCTAACATATATGTATATTCAATGCAGTCTTCAGACTAAATTATTGGCCTCATGCACTCAAAATTGTAGAAATTATATTAATCTTAAAGCTTGAGAAAGTTCCTAGTGACATTCCCTTGATCCTCTTACAGACCTATAAGTCTACTGTCAGATACTTCGAGAATATATCAATATAATCCTGGATCATAAACTTCGCTTCAGACATCATCATTCAAGAACCCACAATACCACAGAATAGTGCACATAATAAGCAAATCTCACGAAAAAAGATGCATTCTTCGGCTTTCTTCCTAGACGTAAAGTAAGTTTTCGACAAGGTATGGCATGATGGGCTCCTGTATAAAATCGAGTCTGTCCTTCCTACATTCTTTAATTTTTTCATTTCGTACTTGAGGAGCCGAATTTTTAAAACGAGAGTAGATGGTGAAAAGACTGAAATCTATCCAATAAGAGCTGGCGTACCATGAGGTAGTGACATGGGTCCACACTTCTGAACTACCAACATCAACCACAACTACAATAGGAACGTTTGCCGAGGATACTGCAATATCCGCATGTTATGAAGAGCCTATTATCGCATCTACTTATCTCCAAAATTATCTGAATATATTTAGTGATTGGACCACGAAATTGAGAATAAAGGTAAACGAAGACAAATTTAGCCATATTACCTTTACTTTTTTAAAAAGGGCCGTTGTTCCTCATTTTCTCTCAACGACATCAATATTCGGAGCAATCAACAGTACGGTACTTAGGATTACACTTAGACAACAAACAGCCGCCACACATCACTAAAAAAAGGAGGCAGATAGACTACAAATTCAAAATCATGTATTGACTCCTCGGCAAATGATCTGAACTATCTGTAGAAAACAAAATATTTCTGTAGAAAACAATAATAATTCCGATTTGAACCTACGGTATGAAGTTGTAGTGCAGTGCTTGGAAATGTAGTATTGCCATTATACTAAGAGCTTACCAAACCACTTACCAAGGAACCGGACAACAGAAGACTAAAAATAAAATGGCCAATTGACCTTAGATAAGATCTTAGAAAGTCTCCTTAATGGAGAAAACGTCATCACATCATCACGTCATCATGGACATCATATATCATATAACAAATTTTGCGATCTCTGATCCCGTGATGATTTTCTTATAAGGTACGGCGTTACTGTACCGAAGCAGCTTGCAAATTATTGACAACTTCATGCCGTGAGCGAACATCTCTCGCTGAAACTTGTATAAAGGGCGCGGTCATATGAGCACTCAATTGGCCGTAAGAGCTACCCTCCGCAATTCCCGTGTTCGAACCCTTGGAGGATACTTGTCGCGTCCGTTCTATCTCGCGTGGGCCGGAGTCCGACTTAATCCAGTGAAATCTTTGCGTTTTGCGTGGCACCTTGTCGGTGTCTGGCACCCGAACACCTCACGCTCCGCGTCGGATGGACCACGTGCGTGGTCCGGCCTAAGAGCCTTAGAATCCCGAAGTCGCCGCAATCTATGTCTTATGATTCGCGAAAAAGAGACTACGTCACAGTACATGTACTGCAAATTTCATATCGTATTATATGCACGTAATTTCAAAATACGTATCGCATACATTTATTTGATTTTTAAAATACCCGTGGATTTTTCAAATAGTACAGTCATAGGCTAATTCCGCAATATCTCCATCTATGGTAAATGTAAAACACTTTCGCGTAAAGTATCTATTAATTACGTTCATCGATAGTGATTTTCGCATCGTGATTTATTTTTGTACTTTATTTGAGCCAACTATTTATAACTGAAATTTAGATAATGTACCGGCAATCTGGTGATTTTTCCAATTTTTATACAGTATCTGGATGATGATGAAAAATGACTTCAAATCTCGTCTGTATTCATGCCTTTTCTCTGCAGATTTCTTCGGTCTGTCTTTTAAGTAAATAATTATTCTCTCAACAATTTCCTACAAATTAACGTACATAAAACCTCTACATTAATGAATTCGCTGAAACAAGCATCCAGAAGATAATAATGGAAAACAACTAATAGCCCAAAGAAGTGCTCAAATGTTATTAATGAACTTCTAAAAAACCTCCAAGAAATATTAACCCTCTTCTCTCTCCAAAGAATGCTTCTAAATATAAAAT